ATATATATATATTTACACAACTTTAGAAAAATATATTTCTGAATCAACGTTTGCATTTTTTTAAATACATAAAATATTATATTCATTAAATATTATATAATTATCCTTTATATATAATAGACAAATAAACAGTGACAATACATTTAGTTGCAAGATACAATTATACAAATATTTGTATTGATTAAATGATATTTCTTTTATTTATCATTTACATTTAAATGTTTTATTTTTTAATATTTAAATTTATTATGTATCACTTAAAGTTTAGGCTTGGGAAAAGTGATTTGAAAATAAATAAATAAATTAACTAACTAACCAGAACACAATGAACCAAACCAAATAAATGGCATTACACATTTTCATCAATCTCATAGATGGAATAGAATTAATAAATAATAAATGACAAATAAAAAGTCCATTAATTCAATATTACCAAAAAGGATTCATGAACATTTGTACACCTCAAAAGCCACTCACATGTAAAATGCTATCAGTACATCAGTGATGATTACACTGATCCATAACTGGATCAGGCTGATATATTTCCTTACATAGTATCATGCAACAAGTGCAATTTAAAAAGAAAAAGAAATAAATAAATAAGAGGAAAACTTGGTTACTACGGTATGCTGTGATAGTTTTAGTAACAACACGGACACTCTCCACAAAATATTTCAAAACGAGCAATGACCTTTTCCTGATCTGATCACCTAAAGGAAACCAATTAACATATTGTACTCAGGCCAGTTATTTTCTCCTTCTCCCTCCCTCTGTTTTTTGTCTCTCTGGTAACTGCTGGGGAGAGCAGAGCTTCACAAATTAGTGGTGTGAGCTAGAAGACTCAATTATCTGGAAAAGGTCTTGTGTGGCGCTTTGCCCATGACACCACTGTTCACAGCCCACAGAGAGCGCGGCGTGGAGGGGAGGGGAGGGGACGATGCGGTGGGTGGGTGTGTGTGCGGGAGTGGAAGACAGTTGCTGGGAGGTAGAGAGAAAGCGAGAGGTAGTACTGTATATAGAGAAGAAGTGAAAACAGGTGATGGCATGTAGAGGCTTAATGACTCCTCCATCAAACAAGTTTTCTGTTGTTACCAGAAATGCCTCACAGGGGATAGTGGCAGGTTTTTTCCTCATTAGGCCTAAAACTTCCAGTGCAGTCTTCACTGTCTGACATGGTAAAGTCTGTCCTGCATGAGAATAGTCCATAATATCAAGGAGGCGGGGGTTGTCTTCCTGAAGGCTAGCTAGATCCTGATAGCCTGCTCCATTGTTCCTTTTCTCTCTCTCTCACTCTGTCAGGATGATTGGAGAGACATCAAGACGAGAGACTAAAAGCTATCACACCATTTATTAATCGGGCATTTTGAGGTTAACAGCATTTTATATAATGGATAATGCACATTTTGTGTTCTTAAAATATCTTTTGTGACTTTCAATTAGAAAAAAACATATTACTACTATTACTTCTAATGTTAATTTTATACACTACCACTAAAAATAAAGGTTCCAAGATTGGTTTTTCACAGGAATGCAGGAACAATAAAGAACCTTTTATGAAATGGAAAGATTCCACTGATGTTAAAAGTGCAACCATAGATGCCATTATGGGCATTACATTGCTCAAAAATGACAGTGAAGACTATAATGTTACAAAAGATTTATATTTCAAATGAATGTTGTTCTTTTGAATCTTCTATTTATTAAAGTATGTTAAAAAAGTATTATGGTTTCCACAAAATGATTAAGAAGCACAACTAACAAAATGATAAATAAAAATAGGAAATGTTTCTTGAGCAGCAAATAAGCACATTAGAATGATTTCTGAAGGACACTGAAGACTGGAGTAATGGCTGCTGAAAATGTTACTTTAAAAGATAATAAAATAGAAAACTTATTTTAAATAGTATTAATATGTCACAATAGTATTGTTTACTGTATTTTTGATCAAATAAAAGCAGCCTTGGTGAGCATAAGAGACCACTTTTAATTTTTTTTTTTACGATCACAAAACGTTTGAACAGTAATGTCTATACAGTATATTCACAAAATTCCCTAAAATATTTACAAATAAATAAATACAAAATAAATAAACAAATGAATGAATAAAGTCAAACACCTGTATACATAAAATGTATGAATATCATTTATTACAAAATACCAAACCTACCGTTTGCTCAGAACTATCTGCACTGTTTTTTTAGACATGTTTGCAATGACTTTTAACCAGCTGGTGTCAAGGTGATTTTTATTAAGTGTATGAAGTTTCAAGTTCACACAGGTGTCCTAGCAGAGTAAACACATTCATCACATTAGCTATGGACGTGTCCCACCAACTTTGTTTATAAGAAAAATGTTTTTTTGTTTTCTTCAAAGCGTAGCAAAACTGCCAATACTTTTCAGATCACATTTATATATACTGGCTCTATATGAGCCAACTGTCACCATTTCTAGACATTACTATTAGCATCAACCAACAAACCCCCCCCCGCACTTCAGTCAACCACTAATAAAAAGCAACTTGTTTTCGCAAATATCTCATTATCTTACTCTTTCAGAGCTTGTGTTTGATGCAAAGACAGCTGTCACTGATCTTTATACTGAAAGTTTCGTTTTGTTCAGCAGAGCAGAACAGAAACACATGACTTCTGCAATCTTGAGATGCTCGGTGAAATGACGGCTGTCTACGGTGCTGAAACGTTTGTTGTGTCTAGCAGGTGCAAGTGTCTACAATGATTAGAGGGCCATCTGTTCAGGGGTGGATGAATTATGACTGAAGAGGAAGCCCCCCTATATCGTTTGAGATGCACGGTTGGTTCTATAGTCAAATAAGTGATGTTCCTGTGGAATTTGAACGAATTAGTCTTTAAAGTGCTGCACTGGCTTACCTAAATATGCCTTGTTCTTTTCTCTATTCAACCTTGTAATGCAAATTGATAATCATAGTTGTTCGCATGCATGCGTTTTCATTCATACACACAACCACATGAAGCCATGCTGGCATGTAAGCGCACACACAAGCGGTTCTATTCGGCAGTGTCATCTTATATTAGCATAATAATTTTTTCCAGAGTGTTGACAGTGCAATAGCAGTGTTAACGACATATCCAAAGTAAGTCGAACCTGTGTGTGTATGTGCAAGAGATTACGATAAGATGGAGAAGAGCGTTTTAGATGTGGAGATGAATAGGTGTCATTGTGGCCATAAAGGGCTCTTCATTCTCTTGAATTCACATTATCACTTGACGTCAAAAGCATAACCTTCCCATACATGCTTGTAGTGAGAGTAATAATCCACAGATTTTAAAAAGAGAGGCCATTCATTAGAGAACAAAACACACTGCACTCAGAGTTGTGTTAAGTGCATAACAAGTGCTAGTGAATGAAATAGTCTTGCTGTAAATAGTCCTTTCTTGGAAACGACTGAATGCATGCTATCAAATAGTGGAAGCAAATAGGAAATGAAACAGACTGATCATTTCTCGTTTTGTCAATGGACATAAAATTAATCACATCACCTTCTCCTTCATCTTTTGAGATAAAACAGTTCAGTGAACTATGAAAATGTACTGTAAAATTCTTTGCCAGTCCAAAAAGATAATTTGTTAAAAAATACACTGGAAAAACAACTCATTCGGTGCTTCTGCATGTGAACTCATGGCAGATGAGACCATTTCAACAGATCATTACACTAGAACAGTTAAAAAATAAACTATACTGCATGCAACACTGAAATAAGTGCTTGCAAAACAGTGCTGCATCCCATTTCACATATAAAAGGGTGTTTCCCTAGAACATTTCAAGGCACGTAAATGAAAAATGGCAAAAAAGAGTGCAGAATTATTAAAGGAATAGTTCATCCAAAAATGAAAATTAGCTGAAAATGTACCCACCCTCAGGCCATCCAATTTGTAGATGAGTTTATTTCCTTATAAGAACAGATTTAGAGAAATTTAGCATTGCATCCCTTGCTCACTAATGGATCCTCTGTAGTGAATGGGTGCCGTCAGAATGAGAATGAGAAAACCATCACAATAATCCACAAGTAATCCATTCGAATTAACGTCTTGTGAAAAGCTGCATGTTTGTAAGAAACAAATCCATAGGGTGTTTTAACTTAACTGTCACTTCTGGCCAAAATACCAATTTGTAATCAATAATAATGCTTCCTCTGGTGAAAAACTCCATCCCCTGTTGTCCTCTGACAATAAAAATCCACCAACATATTTGTTTTCTTTTGTGTTTTGATTGTTGTCACTTGTAAACGGTGCTTGATCTATACATAGTTCTCTTTGTATTCAGAAGAGATAACTTTTTTTACTGGAGAAAACAATATTATGGATAGAGGACTTGTATTTTAGCAGGAAGCAACGGTTAAGTTAAAAACATTTTAATGATGAATTTGTGTATTACAAACATGCAGCTTTTCACTTCACACGATCTTAATTGATGGACTGGAGTCATGTGGATTATTGTGATGTTTTAGCAGCTGTTTGGCCTCTCATTCTGACGGCACCCATTCACTAAAGAGGATTCATTGGTTAGCAAGTGATGAAATGTTAAAGGAGACATATTATGCCCCTTTTTTACAATATGTAACAGTCTCTGGTGTCCCCAGAATGTGTCTTTTAAGTTTCAGCTCAAAATACTCAACAGACCATTTATTATATCATTTTTAAAATGCCTATTTTGAGTGGAAGCAGAAACACACTGTTTTTCGGGCCTGTCCTTAAAGGCAAATGAGCTGCTGCTCCCCGCCCCCTTTTCCAGAATAGAGCTGCGCCATTACAGCTCGGACCTGCTAAAAACATCTGTTATGGTTCTGATTATCATGTTTATCCGATGAAATCATGCGGTTTAAACCATACGAGTTTAAACGTCTGATATACGGTTTTCTGAGAGCACACATCCGAAGCACACGGACAGAAAGTGGCTGTCACAGTATGTGAGAACTCATTCACAAAGTTCTCATTCTAAGTTCTCATTCACACACAAGTTTACATTAAAAACACACGAGTTACAAAAACAGTCGGTTATGTCTGTGAAGGTAAACTGCTGGCAAATAAATCGCATGTTTATTTTAGATCTAAATAGTGTTCTGTGCTCGTCTGTGCAGACAAAGGCAGAACAGTTTGCATGTTTTGCTCAAACTTTCGCCATGGCATTAGAGCTGGTACACCGTTGTCGCTTGTGAAAACACAATAACGGCGCCGTGGGTGGAAACTTACAGATTAAGGGGCGGTAATATTATAATGAGATCCCATTGCAACATCACCAAGGGAGCAAAATCAGACGAGCTCGTTTTCTCAGACGCTTGCAGAAAAAGGCTTACCAAACCAAAGTTACTGGCTTAATCTTGTTCACGTTTTCTTGGTTGTTGGTAGATGCACCGGGGACCTGATTATAGCACTTAAAACCTGGTAAAGTCAGATTTTCATGATATGTCACCTTTAAATTTCTCCAAATCTGTTCCAATGAAGGAACAAACTCATCTACATCTTGGATGGCCTGAGGATGAGACAATTATTGCCTAAACTAGAATCATTGCCTAAATCTAAAAATACTACATAAAAGTAAGACAATTCATTTTAATTCATTTTCAGCACATCAGCACTCACTTTTCTATGAGTGAGCATTTCTTTCTCCTTCTGCCTTTTTTACTCTCTATCCGTGTCTGACTTATTCAGCGTTATTCTCAGAGTACCTACACCAGCAGTTTCAGTGGCCTACTCCCACAACACTACTGTCCATCAAAGAATTCGGTTTCATCTGAGAATTCTGATGCAGAAGGCAACATTATCACAATATGTGACTGAAATCTTGGCAGCCGACAGATAGAGGCCTCAAGTGACTTCACTGGAGAGAGGAAGAAAAATAACTTTTTGATGACAGGACTGAGCACAGCACAGAGTGGTCTGGAGGTCACTACAAACATAAAACGAAACAGGACACAGGGGTACAGACAAATGTCAGGAATAGGGGGAAAAGCTCTCCTTTGTTGAATGTTTTTTTTTTTTTTTAATTATTATTATTTTCAGAGACGAAAATAACATATGGTGCTTAGTATGAATTATGGGTGTAAGTTTCAGCAAACTGTTAACTCAAACGGTTAACTCTTGAAAATGAGCTTGCTGAAAGGCAAATAAGGTTATTACTAGGTGTAATGAGCAATAAAACAAAATATATATAAAATGTGTAATAATTTATTTTTATATATAAATACATATTCACACCCATGCTAATGCATGTTAAATATCAGCATTTTTTTTAAAGAAACTTCTTTTTTTTTTTTGTCACCAATGCTCTGTGTGAAAAATGAGAATAAATCTCACTTTGACTAGTACTAAGAGTAAAAAATGTTTTTAATACATTTACATTTATTCATTTAGCAAACATTTTTCAAGGTGACAGGAATAATGAAAAACAGAAACACAAACGATTAATCATTTGAAGTCAATTTTAGCAGGTCTGCAATTTCACAGACCACAAAAGTACAGCGCTGTGATGACACAATATGGCTTTCAAATGAATGCGATGATAAATTATTTATGTAGGAGCCGTGGTTTCATTCATTAATAGGTAGGTACACCCATTCAGTTTAGAAACTGCAACTATTTTAGTTCAGGTATGTCATTTTAAGTACAAAACATGGCCTTGAGTGCCTTATTGCTTTTTTTTTTATGGTGGCAACAAAAATATATACAAAAAAACACCATTGCACCATATAAACACCATAACTTATATAATAATAATAATCAAAATAATTTCTTCCAACAAATAATATATTTTTTAACCTAACTGATAATTTGTAGTTGCTAAGGAAGAAAAACATAACACTTTAATATACGTAGAATGTGTGTTGACAGGTGAACATTTATCAGAATTTTTCAAAGGCATTTAACACGGTTCATCCAATTGGAATTTAGAGTCATGTCTAACCATTTTATAGTTAATAATATTTACCAACATTGAATTACTTTATTGTTCAGTACAAAACTACAATATCCTCCATAATACACTTTTATTACACTTTCATTACATAACATCACATAAAGCTGTCAGAAGTCCAAGCAGACAAACAGGTCTGAAGTCTTGCCTATACTGAAGGTCACATCCTGTAGATTGTGTAGCAAGGTGTTGTCTATCCTCCATTTCCTTGGCTTGTTATCTCTGCATGTCTCCTGAGATTCTGGGAAGTTATACGGTCTCCCACTGAGGATGAATTTTCACACGTAATAGTGTTTTTCAGGCTTTTTATGAAGCATTAAGCTCCTGTTTAGGAGCTGTTGGAGTGTTGTGCACCCAGTTAACCAAAGTAAATGTGCAGACACACACAAGAATAAACCGAAGAATCATAGGACAGCAACTCGTTAAGTCGCTTAAAAAGTTATAAGCAAAAATAAACTTAATTTACAAACCAGTTTCGTTTGACACTTAAGCCTCTTTTCCACTGTTGAGCCGAGAATGATAAGGATTCTAAGAATGATAAGGAATGGTTCCATTTATGTTTCCACTTGAGCTCGGCTTGGCGTGGCACGGTTAGGAAGAATGTGTGTATTGACGTCACCATTCAGGATTGATCACTTCTCTGTTGTCTGGCAACTAGTTCCTCTCAGTAGCTGGCCAAGCACGCTATTTGATCGAAATAAACAGAAATATCTGATCATCCTGCATAAGGTAGTTGCTATTTAATCAAAAATCATACTCAATATAAATACTTGCGTTATGAGCAATAATGCGTTGCATTTTATGAGCAATGTTTTATGTGTTATTTGGTTCAGTTTGTTAACGTGTTACAAGAAAACAAGGAAAATCAAAAATACAATTGAATACAGAAAACTTTTGGTGGTTCTAAATGATTAGAGCTAGAGACCCTAAAATTGGCATGGAAGAAGGTGAGACTCTGCTTTATGAGTATGCCAAATTTCACAGGTTTTAAATGGTAAAAAATTGTTAGCGTTAGCATACATTTACAGGAGCATCAATCAGAGCATCAGAAGAAGCCAAATAATAACATTACAGGTGTCTATGCACCTTTGGTACTTGGCTTCTAACTGTTCTGATAATTTAACACCAAGAATAGAATCTAATTAAATGTAAAGTGTGGAACAGAGGTTGCCGTGCTCCAACAGATTGACTAATATTGCTCTTGTGGGCAAAACAATTTTGCAATTCTGTTTTCACCTATTTCACCATATACTATGATTAAAAACTGCAAGAATAGAAATACAAAAGACTCAACAACAAAGTAAAATAAAGTCTATTGGCTTTCCAATCCATGCTATCCATATCCACCAAGTGTCCAATATGGGGTCTATAAGAAAAACCAAAAACACTAAAGGGGTAACATAGTCTGATTCATATCAAAATGTACAGCTTCACAACTTTTCTTTCATTTCACCTTCACTGGTCATCTTAAAAGAGTTTCATTTTGCAATGTGGAAATGAAACACCTTGCATTAATCTCCATCTCAGTGGGGAGAGCTGTATATTTCTTTAATTTAAAGGCTGTTTGGACTTTTCAAGTGCTTTCTGACATATCTGTTCAGAGCACAAAGCACAAACACAACCCAGAGAAGGTTCAGATAAAGAACATCTGAGGAATATGTGTATTAAGAGTGAGAATGGTTATTGCAAGCCGAACTTCAGGACAGTCAGTGTATCCAGAGGTAATTAACTCTGAAGCTGTTTGCGAGAACAGCCCCATATTTCCACCCTCCTTATTTCTCCCCGAGTCCTGCTGATGGGTGATTATAACTCTGAAGTGCTGCAGGAGGCCTCACTCTCCCATTTACTCAGCCTGCAGCTGAGACCAAAACACTCTCTAATCACAGCTAAACCGTCAAACGTGTGTGCGTGTAAATGTCCTTTCAAAATCCAATGACATTTCTCTATAATTTCCAAGGATGTCACGCCTTGTTTATGTATGTAGCACTTTTCCCAGCTTTCTCCGTCAAAGCCACTTTTTTCCCCCCAACAAAAAGACCATTTTAATAGATTGCCCTAATATGCTAGTGCAATTTCAATCTTTTTTTCAGCTCGTCCCACGCCAAAATCTTTAAGAAACTCTGATGGGGAGGGAATCCCACTGTTCAAACCCAATCTGTCATTTCCTGGCAGGCAAACAATCTAAAATGCTGCCAGGCGCCACACAAAAGACCCATACACCCTGCGCCAATTGACTGCCGGTATGGTCCGCATAATCTTCGATGGTGAGCTTCATTTAACACGCTATTCTGGAACAGAGTTGTAGATTGCCTTTAAAACACACCAAAACCACCCCCTGAAAAACACACTAGCTCAATGAAAAACACTGTGTATTTGAACCGGCGACAGACTGTGGGGGAAAAAGCTCAATAGAGCTGTAGAATATGAATGCAATAAACTAGAGGCAAAAGACGGCTTACATGATGCTCATTTTGCACGTCTTTTGATCCTGCTCTTCATCATTGCCTGTATTGCTCTCTCTCTGTATCCCATCAATATTTTTCCTTTTCCTTTAAGAGCGTGTTCTTTGCACATATACGTCCGTATGGCGGCTCGAATCAGAGGAGCCTTCAAAATCATGCATCACTCCTGCTCAACTCAAAGCAGTTTCGGGAA